CGGAATCGGAAGCAAGTGAAAACCAGCAACGGTAAATGAATGTTATAATTATTATTTGATCCCTTGAATTTTGTGTAATTAAAGTATGACCCTTTGGTATGGGCCGTCAACTTATTGAATTGGAAATTTGGACAAATCGTAAAATCGTCTTGGGTCACTCTAGCTTAGCATAATCTTAACCCGGTCCTTTCCAAATAATTAATTCTATACTATTTGTTGGGTCGAGCCGAGGTGGGTCGATTTTTTTAACGCTTCGATTTTAATTTAAAATTAAATATTTTTACTCGATTTAATCTACTTTAATATTTGATCCGTATTAAATTTTTGATAAAGCTCAACCCATTAAAATATTTTTTTTATTCGATAGAATAGGAAGATAACGAAATATATAAAGAGAAATATTATAATAATTATCTCTAAATAGAGAGAAAGACTATAACAACTATCCATAAATATAAGAGATACGTAATGGTAATTATTTAGGTCAAGTCGAGTCAAAATTTTGTTACTTTATACAAAATTTTGTTTTTGAATCCAATTTTTTTTTAAAAAAAATTATGAAATTAAATATAAGAGATACACAATTTGTTACTTATCAATCATTCCTACTGTTAGATGGAGATTTGTTAGTCGCTCATCAAGCTACAACAATCGAAGGAATCTCAATGATTGGGCTTAACTATTTTGTATAAGCTTATCCCTTATTTATGGACTTTAGTAATCTCAATATCTTATAGCAAAAATATAGAAATACCAAAAATAACACTTGGTTTAGCATACTTGGAATGAGTGACAATGATTATGATTTAATCAATAAACGTCCTAATCTTGAATTTTAGACACTCATATTCAAACGAAACTGGAATTTGTTTTATGCACATAATAAAAGAATTTAATGTACAGCATTTGGGTTTAGCAAATAATAAATTGCATTACCTTAAAACCTCAGATTATGGATTATAATATGTATGTTTGGCGTGCTGCATAGGTGTACCTTGAGCATGCTTTTCTCACATATAATAATCGTATTTTAATAGTAGAGTGTGTGTGTGTACATAAATTAGGTCAATGATTATATTCCTAATTATTAGTCTAATTTATTGATTAATCCAATATCAAGTTATACCGGCAAGCATGATGCAAGCTTTTAGGTCATATCATGGTTAATGTCATCACGCTTCCAAGAAAATCATACATATCTTGTGATTTCACATATCCGAATTTTCAGAGAATTTTCCTATAGTAGAATTCTTAGTATAACACTTTTAAAGAAAGAATCTCGTACGTTGTGTATCTCTCGAGAAGCCACAATCTTTTAATAACATCTCTGATGAGTTCATATGATATGTGAAAGTTTAAATTATTCGACAGTCGACACTCCAATTAGGTTTACTAACCTATAAATAGTATTATAACCTTATACATGACACTATCATTATGAATCACTATAAAATCTATTAACAAAGGTTGAGAGAGAGAGATCGACACCTTCACCTTCACCTTCACCTTCACCTTCCTCTTTCTTTCTCTCTTTTCAAATAATACATGCAACAATATTCTAATCCAAAATGTTTGGGGAAAAAATAGTAGGTTTAAATTAACATAGAAATAATCAGCACATTCGTATTATTTTTAACAACACACTAAACCTCCAAGTCTTTTATCATATTTTAATAAATCGAAGTTCCGATTTGAATTGAGTTTAGAAAGAAATTCAACCCAACGAAAATGACAAGTGAATTATTTATCGTGTTTAAAAGATGTGCAATGACAGATGAAAAACTATAACAAGTGATTAGTGGCGGTGGCATGACACATTTGGTGTTGGGTCGTTGGTTCCACTTGGCAACCGATGACGGATGCGCTGATTTCAAGTAATGATACGCGTATATTTTGAATTTTTTTTTAAATAATTACTTATTTTATTGATATTCAATTCATTTAAATGTGGTATTATTAGCATATGTATCTTCGCCTTTAAAAATACTTTAAGATATGTGATCAAAGCTTAAATGATTAGATTCTAATCGATTAATTAATTAAAGTAAAAACAAGATCCTTATAGGGGGAAAAAACAAAACGATGGCATGCTGCCCAATTGTTTTTCAGCACTTCATCATCAAAAGATAAACAAGGTGGCGGACGGTGGTGGGGGCTTTTGCAAAGCGAAAGACGTTAAATTAGTACACAGAAAATTGTGATGTCTGGCACCGGTTTAGTGGTATTCTTATTTATTTATTCCAATTTCATTATCATCACACTCCATTAATCATTTTTTTATTTGTTTATGAATACATATTCATGTAGATGCTAATCGGACTTATAACTAAATTAGATTAATTTTTACGATATAACATTGTTTTAAAAGAAAACGAATCTTATTAAAAATTCCTTCTAAGACTTGTAAGGAGAAAACTCACTTAACCAAAGTACGTGTCACGTTATTATAATTTCAAATAACAAAATGATATAATGTTTAAGTTATTTTAAAGAATTATAATTCAGGAGTAGAGATGTATTATATTTATGTTTTAAATTAATTTTTAAATAAAATAAAACTTTCTAAAAGTTAAAATTACTTTTTATTCTTAATATTTAAATTTATGTATTTTTATTTAGAAAACATCATTCTCATGAATTATTGGTTTGTTTTCAGTTGTGCTGGTGATGGGTTGATTATCATTATTGGAGTTATCACTATAACATATGTAATGCTAACAGCGTATCAGTTGGAAAAGACAAAGAGTAAGCCAAGTCGGATTTTACCTTTTTGTTTTTGCTTACAAATTTTTGTTTTTGTTTTGATTAATACAGTTTAGGTGTCTAAATTATATTTTAGTTTGATTTTTGGTGTCTATTGTTAAAAAATCATTAAGTAATATATATCACGTCTAGATCATTTAAAAATATTTAAAATAATATATTATTTTTATAAATATTAAATGATATATTTTAAAAGTACAATTGTTATATTGGAATTTTAAAATATATAGTGTATGATATTTTTTTGAAACAATATGTATGATATTAAGTATTTTGTCAAAATATATTTTAAATATATTATTATCGCTTTTCTATTGTATATGTGTAGGATTTCTTTTAACAGAGTGACATAATTTTTTGGTAGATAAAATTAGCTGACCCTATTCCCATACGTAATAGGGTAAGGGAGAGGTAAGGTAGTAGGTTACCCCCAACGTCAGGTTGAGAGCAACTTTCGTAGAAGACCTCTGACAGTCAAAATTATAAATTGCTCATATCTCTAAATTGATTTGAAAAATAACCAACCCTTCACTAATCCTTGCTTTTCCTTTTGAAAGATTCCATTTCATTTTTCATTGTCCTTCCAAACTAAAAGGAGGATATTTTTAAAAATAAAAAATAAAATAAAATATTTCAATAAATAAAAGAAAAATACTTATATTCAATGTTATTCAAATATAACTTTATGTAAAATTCAATACAATAGTGTCATGTTCTTTTTACATACAGTAATCACAAAGATTCGAATTTAAACCTTTGCTTTTATATAAAAGATCCTAGCTTTTCGCTATGTAATAAAGTTCAGTTATTAAACGTGTAGTTTATCTTAAATTTAATGATAAAATTAATACATATAATAAAATTAATGAGAAAGAAATACCTACTACATTACATAGTTAATGATTTAACAAGTCAATGTTTTAATAAAAACCGAAATTAAAGTTCAATACCAAAAATAAAGCAATTTAAAATTTAGTGGTAAAAATGACACAAAATCTAAAATTAAATGATATTCTATTTAATTTACCCTTATTTTTATCTAGATCGCGTTACATGTGACTCGAGTGAAAATATACAAGTATACTTGTACTATTTTTTTTAAAAGAAAAATTGCTTTGCTTGAAAAATAAATTTCTACAAAGGATTTCGTAACTAATATATTAATTTGGTCAAAATTCTATTCAAGCACAAAGTGTTGAAACTAAAAAACTCTTTAAATGACATGATACCTTTATTTCTAAATTCTATTAACATTATTTTATTTTTCTCAATTTATACAAGTAAAATAACAATTCTCAAAAGTCAAAGTCAAATCACTCACTATATTTTTTACATTACAAGGACAATGTTATTAAGGGTAAACTGCATGCTTAGTACTTTAATTATCACTTTTGTTTCATTTTGGTCACCCGACTATTTTTTTCAAAATCATACCTAATGTTATATTTTGGTCATCCGTCATTAAAAAATCAACAAACTTATTGATGTGATATTTTTTTAAAATTTTTTCAATGATGACATTACATTACCTTACAATGACATGTCAACATCACTGTTAATTTTTTAACGGTAGCTGACCACAATAAAACAAAAACGTAATGCCATGTATGATTTTAAAACAAAAAAATAGTAAAGTGGCCAAAATAGAATAAAAGTGATAGTTGAGATACTAAAAGTGTAGTTTACCCTTTTATTAAATTAATTCATATGACATATTGAGGTAAAAATACTAATCCGTATGTCATGTAACTAGAAAAACAATGATGTAATAGACATGAATTTAAGAGCAATATTTTAATTTCGTTAATAGTTTAATTTTAAGTTTAAAACATAAAGAAATTAAATTTTAAATTTAAAACTCCTAATTAAAACGAATCAAAATATAATATTATATATTATGATTTAAAGAAAAAAGTAAACTACATATTTAGTTCCTCTATTATTATTTTTGTTCTATTTTAGTCACCAATTATCTTTTTAAATCATATTTAATGTTTAATTTTATTTTGAATAAAATAAATAAAAATATAATAATTTACTTAAAAATAGTTGAGTAATCAAAATTAAATTATAGAGACTAAATACGTTGTTGACAAGTTATTATTTTCCAGCTCCTGAAACAAACAAACGTGTTAATTGCCTTTCATCTGAATCCTCCAGCTTTACTACCGAATATTCCTCTCAAAAATCCCTTCTTCTTCTCTCCATAAATCCCCCTCCATTACCCCTCGCAAGCCCTAAACCAAAAAAAAACCCATAAATTTTAAAATTTCCACCAAAACAGAGAGAAAACCCAACAGCTACAAAAATGCTGAGCGAATCACTGAAGAACAAGTACCAGCCCTGCGAAGAGATCGGCCGAGGCCGTTTCGGCGTCATCTCTAAAGCCTTCTGTCCCATCACCCAGTCCTTCTTCGCCATCAAAACCATCGACAAACGCCTCCTCTCCGACCCCACCGACCGTCAATGCCTGGAAAACGAGCCCAAGATCATGACCCTTTTGTCTCCCCATCCCAACATCGTCCAAATCCATGATATGTTTGAATCGGAAAACGCCCTCCACCTCATCCTCGACCTCTGTCAGCCGGTCACCCTCTACGACCAGATCATCCAGCACGACCTGTCGGAGCCCAAGGTTGCTTCTTACGCCAAACAGCTCGTGTCGGGTCTGGCTCATTGTCACCGGTACGGCGTCGTTCACAGGGATATCAAACCCGATAATATCTTTTTCGACTTCAGGGGCAATTTGAAGATCGGTGATTTCGGTTCCGCCACTTGGTTGGGCGAACTCTGCACCGCCGATGGGTTGGTGGGTACGCCGTATTACGTCGCGCCGGAGGTTGTCATGGGTAGGAGTTATAACGAGAAGGTCGATGTTTGGAGCGCCGGCGTCGTTTTGTATGTCATGTTGGCCGGAGTTCCTCCGTTTTACGGAGAAACGGCCGAGGAGATTTTCGAGGCTATTTTGAGAGGGAATTTGAGGCTTCCTTCCAGGATTTTCAGGTCCATCTCTTCCGAAGCAAAGGATTTGTTGAGGAAGATGATTTGCAGAGATGTTTCCAGGAGATTATCTGCAGAACAAGTCCTGAGTAAGTTTTTGAATTTACTATCTTTTTTTCATCTAAAAACCCAAAATTTTTCGTCTAAAAAGTGAATCAAATTGCTAAAAGGAATCTTTCTTTTTGTGAAATGCAGGGCACCCATGGATCTTGAATGGAGGTGAAACTATTTCAATGGACTGAAAAGAGCTGGGAATTATCATCAAATCAAAAGATACCATAAATAAAAAAGAGCTTATCAATGTAAATATAAGCCTATCAAAAGGGTCCCCCAAGCTTTTCTTCTTTACCAAGCAAAAGTCACAGTCCAGTTTTGCAATGGAGTTTTCTTCACATATAGGGGACCATCAACCACCATGAACCTACCAGTCTTCCACTAATATCTAATTTTGATCTCTTTCTTCCAGTTTTGTTGTTTGGTTAAGCAATATAGAGCGTACATAGATAAAAAAATATAATAGGACACTTGTGTTTTTGTTTATGAAAGTATGAAGGAAGTGATACATATGAGAATCTCTTGTAAATCCTCTTCTTCTTCTTCTTATGAGAAGAATCAAGTACCTAAATAAATTGTATGTTTTTGGTATCTGATTTTAATGGGACCCTTTTTCTGGGAATCTTGAAACTGTTCATCTTGTTTGTTTTGATGGATGCATCTGCAAAATACTTGAACAACATATTGGCTATTGGAATCTGCAGATTTGTTGTAATTGTGAAGTGCCAGCTGACTTATTCCTTGTAACACCCATTCCAGGTATACGTTCTTGTACGAGTCATAGACATCACATGATTTTTAAAATATTATTGTACTTAAAAATTAGTAAAATATTTTTTTATAAAACGATTTAATATTATAATATTTAAAATATCCGTTTATTAACTATTAATATATAAATAGCATTTTGAAACCCATCACATAGTAGCTTAAGTTCGACTATAATATAGTACTATAAACTAAATATCAAATGTCCTATTAGAACATTATATAATATCTAAGTACATGTCGATTAGTAATATCAAAATAAACATCTAGAGATGTCATATTATTACTGATAAGGCAATTATTGACAGATGATATCAGCTACACTCCGATCGTACGTTATTACCTATGCTTGAAAATCATCACACGCTAATTATTCACTTAGTGAGACATAATATAATAAATGAGACATTAAAACATAAGTATTTTATAAAAGATCAAAATACGAGTTTAATCATATAAAATATATTAACACATAAAATTGACTTGATAGGCTAATTTTCCATCAAATAACATGTGAAACAGTATTTCATATGCCTAGCATACTTATTAATCAATATATTTTAAAATATTCATTCACACCCCAATGTATGACAAATAAGAATGCAAGGTACACAATAAGCACGTAAGTGCTACAATAATATATAGGTATTGTGGTACACAACAACAATATAATAACTATGGAGTAATAATCCCGTACGACTATCATCCTTGCACACAAAGTGCCATAGTATACTCCAAGTACACAAAGTACTAGTACGAAAATACAATAATACATTAAATAAAATCGATAGATATCCAGCACACACCAAGTATGACAATTACATACATAATGCTACAATACACAATACTACTTCAATACCACCTTATTTATGGTATTACTATTGCACCTATGACTCTCTATGTACTTACAATAGACTTTAAAATACAAATCGCAGGTTAAACATTTATTCCAAACCATCAATAAATAATAATTTGTGTGAAACACATCCATTCGTTTTAGGGCAGTTCAAACTCTAAAATCATTCGTAAAATCATTTTCATAAACTTTATGAAAATATTTCAAAATGCGTTAAAACATATTTACATAAAAATACTCGAGAATGACTCATTGCAAGTCATACTCATATCATATAAGTACATAATAAATGCACTCACATTATATGTCTCACTATTATGCCTTATTGTCAATATTCGATTATTCTTGGACTTTATCCTTGCCTTTCACTTTGCTTGTATCATGGTTTTGATCACGATCTACCCAAACATCCATACAAGCACATACAAATATAAAAGGCATGTTAATACTCTTACTAACATTTTATACATGATAATAATACCCAAAGGTATTATTATTTTTCGATTTCTTCTAAATTTCATCTTAAATTTTCCTTTTCTCATAATGGGCCCTTGCCATTATTTCATACAATTCAAGGTCCAACTAAGCCTAATAAATTTCCAGCAAAATATCTCAACAATACCATAATTACCACTTAAGCCATTAACTTTGTCAATATTTACTATTTAGTACTTAAACTTTGCCAAATTTCCAAAATGGCTAAATTTAACATTCTAACTTCAATTTCAGCCCTCAAACAGTAATTTCCAGCAATGTACATCAATTATTGAGTAATTACACATTCATCTCATAACTTTTCAAAATTAACGAATAAGTCCCTCAACTTTTGAAAAATTTAAAATGACCCAAAAAAATTTCTAAGGCTTGTAGAACCTTCCAAATAACATTTCTAAGACATGTGAATTTTTCTACAATTTTCCCAACTTATTTCCTCAAGGCCGAACCATATATGTGTTAGGGATTCAATGTTTTCACTTGATTCAAGCATGAAACCAACCTCTATTCAACATTATGAAATCTTTACAATCAAACCCCTAACTTTATTTCATCAAATGACAATATTTCCCCAAATCTAGGGTTAGGCCGAAATCAACATAAGCATGTATAGACATGTATAGGTGATTTTTAATCGACAACCAAGCTTGTAAATGATTCTACAACCTCAATAACATCTAAATATTTCATAAAATCATGAAACTCTAATATGAACATAAACCCTAGAATTTGGGATCTTTGAACATAAACCAAATTAGCATGCAATAGTGGTACCAAATGATAACATTTTTCGAATAGAACAATTTTCTAGTTCACAACTCGATCCAAAATCCAAATGAAATTGCTCAAAATTCAAAAATAAAATTTCTCTTACCTAGGTATGGGAGAGCACGAAATGGAGCTGAAAAATATATTGGTTTCATGAAATTTCTCCTTAATTTCATGTTAATTTACCTTATATTTAAGCTTAAATGAATATAATATTCATTTAATGAGAAATGTCCAATTTGCCCTTAATGAAACTTGATATTTACCTTAATACCAAGCCACATAACCCTTGTCATATTTGTAAAGTTAAATACGAACCCCGTTCATTCACCCTTTCGAACTTTACCCTTGCAATCTTTCCAAAATTTCAATCTTGTCATTTTTCATCCAACGATCCAAAATAAACATGGCAATAATTTCTTAAATCCAATGATCCATATTATTTTCCATCATTTTAACATGTGGAAATAAAAATTTTAATATTAATTTAATAACCTTCATATTTTCCTGAAATTTTTATTCGATCCGATTTACCAAATTTTTACCGGACTTTACCACTTTATAGCTTTTAACATAAATTCCGGATCCAAAATTTGTTTCCCACAAAACCCAACACTTAAGGGTGAACTATTTATTTATGGGGATAGATTACCTAAGTTTTTTAAAATTACCTTTTTGATCCCTAAACTTTTCTAACTTTACACTTTCATCACCAAACTTTAAAAATTTATGTTTTGGTCACTAACCAAAATTTGGGGCATTACATTCCTTCCATATTGAAATTTGAAAATTCATGTGTGTGAAATTAAATGAAAGATTTCAATTGTAAATCTTTTCCAATGTCATTTGTAGATGAAGCTTGCTACTCAAGTCTAAAGAACCAAAGAGTATGTTTTGCTTGTTAGAATATGCTTGATTTATTCCCTTCCTTTTGTATTGAATTGAATCTATTTAGTGGTCCCGGTGATTTCAGGATGATTTATTCTTCGGTGATCTAAATTCGAACAATAATAAAGAGTCTTCAAGAATGTTAATCCACACCTTATATAAATTTAAATCTTGATATTTACCTTGAAAATATAATACTTTTCTACATTATAAACAAAACTACAATGTTTTTTCCCCAAGAACTTTGTGATTTTAAAAACATTTATACATATAGAATTATAACTTCATTTTTAACCTTAAAATATAATTTTATTAATTTTCAGTCCTTGTAACTATTAAATAGGAAATTCACAACTTTATCCAGGGATGGAGATATTATCATATATATAAATGGCTGTCCCTTTTTCCCATATATATAGGGTAGGGGAGGTAAGATAGTAGGCTACCCCCAACACCAGGTTGAGAGCAACTTCCGTAAGAGACATCCGAATGATAATTGAAAGTCTCAAACATTAAAGTGTAATTAAGATAGCAGGTAGCTGTAATTAATGAGATGAAATAGTTGAATACTTATCATGGCGTTATTATCAATTTTTTGCTATAACTTTGCTTATATCCTTCTAGAATCCATCTAATTTATTTATGAATTTAATATGATAAATAAATGTATGATAAATAAATGTACTCTAATAGAACATAAATATCTATCATATTAAATAATTGAGTAAACTATGTATTTAATCACCCATTTATTTTCATGATTTTATTTTAGTCACTTAATTTTTTTTCAAAATCGTACTTAGCATCATATTTTGGTTTTGTTTGGTCACATACTGTTGAAAAATCAACGATAATATTAATGTATCACTATAAGATAAAGTTACATTATAATTGAAAAGAAATAAAAAAAGGCGACACATTATCAATAATGTTATTTATTCTAAATTAACGAGAATATTGACGTATTACTATAACATAATATTATATCATAACTGAAAAGAAATAAAAACATTTACACATCAACATAAGTTCTATTTATTTTTAAACGGCGAGTGAACAAATCAAAATAAAAATATATAATTAAGTGTTAGATGACTAAAATAAAAATACAATAACTGGTTGATTAAATACATAATTTCTCTCTCTGGCTAATATTTTCAACTATTTTCAACTATTTTATCGGTTTTTAATAATGCAGATATTTGAAAACTAAATTAGAATCCCAATGCAGATAGTACCAGAACTGAAATATTTAATTTATAACAAAAGTTAAAAAAAACAAAAGCCAGGAATCTTTAACATCTGGCATGTGAAAGTGGGAAAAATAATTAAAAATAAAAGATGCAAGCAGGTTAGTCCGAAAGCAAGTTGTAGTATCACTACCATGGTTTTCAGAACCGGATCGGTTAACGAACCGGTCATATTATCGGTTTATTAGTTTAACCGATCGAATCGGTCTAAACGGTCGGAAGAACCGGACGACGTCATAATTATTTAAAAAATTAAATAAAAATATCAAAAATATTTAATAAAAAATATTTTTTTTATATCACAAGTCATATTCAAAGCAAGTCATAATATATATAAGTTAAAAACCATAAAATCAAGTGAAACAAAAATATTCAAATTAACTACAACATAATATTTAAGGTAAAATATATTAAATAATAAATATAATTATATAACTATAATTAAAAAATAAATTTG